ATACACACATATACACTACACACACACACCACATGCACACACCACACACACATACACTACACACACACTACACACATACACACTACACACATATCACACACACCACACACACATACTATACACACATATACACTACACGTACACACCACACACACACACCACACACACACACACACACACACACACACACACACACAAATGAAAAGCAAATCTACCTGGTAAGCTGATGGAGAACTGAGTCATGAAATAACAAAAGCTCTATTTAGTGGACCTGAATCTTATTGCATGGAATGTGTATGTCTTTATTTTAGGTATATATAATATACATTTATACAGTGTGGCAGGATTTGCTATCCCAAATACTGCTGCAGTGACATTCTCTGTCTCTGTGATTCCTTCCTCTTTCCTCTTCTCTTCCACTCTATCTCTCCTCCCTCTTCTCCCCCACATCTTTTTTTTTCTCTCTCTTTTCTCTTCTTCAGTAGCCCAGGCTGGCTTTGAAATGATGCTTCAGTAGCCCAGGCTGGCTTTGAAATGATGCTCCTGGTACCTTGGTTTCTCCAAGTGCTGGGATTACAGCTGTGTACCACTATGTCTGGCCTGCATTGACTCTCTTTTCTAAAATTTGAGATGAGGTCTTTCTTTATAGTCCAGGCTTGTCTGATACAGTCCTCCTGCCTCAGCCTCCAAGTGCTGGGATTACAGATGTGTGTTACTATGCTTGGCTTGCAAAGACCTTTACACACTCATGTGTGTGGGATGGGAGCATGTGTGTTGTAAAACTGAGTCTCATTTGCCTCTTGACTCTGTCCCTTCGTTCACTTTTCTTTTTAACCCAGTTTTTTCCTGACATAGATGGTTAGAACTTCAATTCTCCTTTCGATTTCTCCTTCCCTTTGCCAAGTTAAAATATTTAATCATGATGTTCTGGTTCATAGATCCTCAAAGAAATAGTTAAAACAAAAATTTTCTTCTTCCCTCTGTCCTCTTTTTGAATATTTGTAAGTTACCTGGATTAGTAATATATTTGGCTTTTTCCAAAGTGGCTTTGGAGGGAGTTTTGTAGCCAGATGTCATTCCAGAAGCCGCCACTAGGTGTCAATAGAGGTTTTGGTAGACGGTTCAGGGCCATTGGTAGATTTGGTTGGGTCTTTGCGGATCCTCTACGTTCTCTCCCTCAAAATAACAAATGTCCGTGGTGCACAGCACTTTCCTCAGGAAGTACTCCAGGGAGCCCAGGAGTTTGCATATGAAGGCGAGAAGCGCGAGGCCCCCGCTAATAATAGTCCATGCCAACCGTAGTCGCTCCTAGGCAGACCCAGACTCTCATCTTTGATATATGAGATTATTACTGAGTGGTATGGTGGCCAAGCGATGCTCTGTGGGCACGCTGAGGACACAGTCCTGCGTGGGCTGCAGAAATGGCGCTGCAGAGCACGGACCAGGTTGAGGAACTGAGTGTACAACTTGGACCCGGGCAGGACGGGAGGCCGGACGCCCTCAGTGTGTGCTCAGCCTGCGCCACCTTCCAGGACAACAGCGCCAACGCGGGTGAACAAGGCTGCGCCCTCCAGGGGTTGCAATGGGGGTTGTCACCGCAACTTACAAACAGACTCCAAGCCTCTTTCATCTCCTTAAAAAAGTTCTGCCCAAATTCCTCCACTCTCCTGTATTTAGGCTGCAATGCTTTGCTTTTTAAATTTCCTGTTACATTAGCATGGCACCATCAGTTTGGATATGTCGGTAGCTATTTTCTCCTAACTAAAACATTCCCTCCTGGAGGGAATGAGAATCAAAAGACGTAGGAAGCTGGCAAAATTTACAAGAGTCAGAGAGGTCAGAAAATATGATCCACAAGGTCTCAGTTCAAGGTTTAAGTTTCAGTAAATAGCTGCCAGGAGAAGCAGAGAGCTTCAGTTAGGCTGTCTGTAAGTGTGGTGCAGCCTTTGTGAGCTGCTGCCCGTCCTGGGGTGGGCTTTTCCATATTGTAGCTGCTTTGGAGTCCTACCTGCCCCTCTAATTGACTGCTCACCTGTACTCCTGCAAGGAACCCACAAAACTCACGGGTCCACCAAGTTAGACTTCACTCGGATCATTATTTTGGTTTTCCACCTGCTTCTGGGGTGAATAGTCATTTGTGTTATGTTTCCTCAGGAAAAATCTCACACGATGCAGTGTGCATACGTGTGTGTGTGTGTGTGACAGACAGACAGACAGACAGACAGACAGAGACAGGAGAGACAGCAGACACACAGAGCACACACAGCATGAGTGCATAAGCACACACACACACACACACACACACACACACAGAGAGAGAGAGAGAGAGAGAGAGAGAGAGAGAGAGAGAGAGAGATATGCTTACCCAGTTTATTCCTGGAATCTTGATGTTGGGTACCTTGCCTTGTTTAGTGTTCATTGAGGAAGGGGGAAGAAACCCCTTAGGTAGAAGAGTCTTTTCTCTTAGATCTGTAGTAAACACAGGCACCATGGCATTGTGTAGCGTTGTTTAATATGCCCCTGAGCTCTAGGTAAGGACAAGGTAGGACATTCTGGATCAGGTACAAACTGGGATGTGGACACATCCGATAAACCATTTTATGTTTTTTGTTTTTGTCAAGTAGGAGGAGCCATAAATACGACAGGGGATGGGAGCAATGGGATGAAGGGTTAGGGAGAACTAGGAGTGCGTGATGATACAGGCTAAAGGGATTTGGGTAACCTGACTGGAACTTGGGAAAATGAGCAAGACTGTTCAAGTGTTCAATCTTGTCCCAGACTGGTGAGACACGACCTCTGCCTTCTGCTTGTAGGGACTAAAGTGTGGAAGTGGAGCACACGCTGACCAAAGCCTTCTGATGACAGATAGGGAAAGACCCAAGAGGATGGGGCAAGACCCAGAGAGTGTCTCGGCTGTGAGTCCTCACCTCCACACTTGCTCAAAAACGAGGCTATGAGACAGATAACGAGCTAAACGCCTGCCACCTTTGACTGAGGCTTCGACTGCTGTGTGGACTCACGTTTCCAGTCTTGAGTGCCACTCAGGGACTCAGACTGGCATTTCCAGCTTCCCGACTCGGTCCCTTTCAAGTATCACACGTCTGCTTCTTGTGGAGACTAGTCAGGCCCCTTGTCATGCGTCAGAGCTCTGCTTTAGCTGAGTGTGGTCTCTAGCCAGTGCCTTGGCTGCCAGTCTGAGGGGGAGACTCTGGAGTGTGGCGACAGAAAACAGTACTGTTGTTTTGACACTTTTATGCTGTACATAAGCAACCAAAGCACAGGAGAGACAGACCTCTCGAAGGTAAGGGTACTGAGGCCCAGAGAAAGAGGTCCTGAACTTCTTCTAGCACCTTGAGCTTAGACTATCTGAGCCTGACCTGGTTGCCCTGGATGAATCCAACCCTGTTTGTTATCTTGGTTCAAACCTCCATGTTCCTGGGCCCACTAAAATTGGGAGGGGACGAACACCTCCAAAACAATTTCTTGTGACTCTGAGCTTCCCAGAGAGGTAGATATACTCAGAAGAGAGACACTTGCTCCCCTAAAAGTATGGTTTGGGGCTTCCTCTGCTGCATGGTAGATGTCTACCTGAGCAAGTGTTAGGCTGAACTGACATTAGTTTCTCATCATGTATGGATTCCTGGATATTAAAGAAAATACAGCACAGAGGGTAGGAACATCAGCTTCTTTTTACCATTCCCTCAGCTGAAAGAGCTTGCAACCAAATCTCTCCTCCACTCTTCCTC